CCCCCCCCCCGCCACCGAAAAAAAGAGAAAAGGAGGCAGTAGGTTTAGCTTCTCTCATTGTTGGGTTTCCTTTCCATTACCAAGTTTAAGCCTTACTCTTGTTCCAGGCAAAAGCACAAGGATTCATAGCTGGTGTTCAATCAATTGCTAGTTTAATATCACCAATCATAATGAGCCCATTGACTTGTGAGTAAACTATTTTTTTTTTAATATCTTCCTCGTTACTGGCTAATACAAGTGAAAGTCACCTTTTTCTGGTAAAAGGAATGAGGAGCTCATGTCTGTTGCTTACCCATCCTATCTGTTTCCAGCATGGTTCCTGTCAAGCAAGGCTCCATTCAATTGCAAAGGTTTTAGCCTCATATTTGCATCAGTATCCATGGTACTCTCTCTCTCTCTCTCTCTCCCTGTATTGTTACATATCCATGCACATTATGTATGTGTTTGGAACTGCGAGTGTTGTACTTTATTTGTTTGCAAAACTGAGAAAAGCAATAATGAACCCGCTTATTGACACTTAGGCACCACATCAGCAAAATAGTGAACCTGTTAGGGGAAGCGCTAAAATGAAGCTTCCCTCAATGGTAGGCGTACACATAAATCAATGCCTTCTTTTTCGAATCTCTATGTGTACGGATCTGCATAATGAGGGAATGCTGAAGTGGTGCTTATGTGGCAATGTTTATTCAGTAAATGCCCACGGTTCCAAACACATGCTATACAATATGTATCGGTTTTTGAACCCACTGATATGCTAAATAGGAGTTAGGACATGTTGCCACTTTTAAGTTTTGAAGGTTAATAATATGAGATCACATTGGCGCCCCACATGCACATCTCACCGCACATTGGCAACATCTCCCGTACTTATCATAGGGAGATGCTCCCAATACACAGGTGGGAGGAGTTCAGATCTGCACCCCACGTCCCACAGCACATCCCCGCTGCGTATTGGGAACATCTTCTAATGATGGCATCATCAGTTCTGATACCATCATCGAGAGATGTTCCCAATACACGACAGGGATGTGCTGTGGGACGTTGTGGGGCACAGATGTGAACTCAGGGGAGAGGTGCTGTGGGGCGCCAACCTAATCTCTAATAATACCCTTGCTAGAGATGTCCTTTCTCAATTCTTTAAACTTCAAAAACATTTTAACCTAAGATATCATTGCTTTGAATGGCAATGATGTGTACTTTTGAA